GTGGGGGTGTGGGTGGGTGTGTTTCCAGTTTCCTTCATTTTTTTCAGAGGTTTTGAGTATTTCTTTAGTTTGTTTTCTCCCACAAATTTTCAGCCTTCTTTCTCCAAGATGAAAACACATACTGTTCCCTTCACTTGAAATACAGTGGACCCCTCCTTTCTTCCTTCTGCCTTTCCCCATCCCATCATCTTTGATACTTGTATCTGTCCATAATGTAATAGTCTCCCTAAATATCATTATACTACATATGATCCCTTTGATCCTATATGTTAAATAAGGCCATACAAATACCATAGGATGAGAGTTAGGTTACTCTGAAGGGTTAAAAGAGAGGCTGTGACAGTAGATTAACCTATGGAGAGGTACACAAGGGGGAGATAGCTCCAACTTTAAAATGTCAGGAGAATATGGTGTTTCTTCTGCATGGACTAGTCCTGGCATAATATTTGATGTCAGGAGTGCTGGAGTTGTACTCCTGGCCTGCTAGGAACCAGGTAAAATTCTGTGCTCTTGTTTAGTGGTCTAGTCTGTTTATGACTGCTACTGTTGTTTGTGATGGTTATGGTTATTTTCATTACTAGCAAATAGTTTTATTACTTTTGTCTGGTTAAATTTTAATTACTTACCATATATGATAGACACACATACCTACCCATACTTACTGTAAATAAACTGCATTAAACAAAAGGGCTTTTAATTAGGTCTTAGTGATGAGAAGGTGAGCACTTAACAATGAGGGTTCATATTTTCTCGTCTTTTCCCCCCATTCAGGGAGTGTTTGAAGAGGAGCCCGCGGAGCCCGAAAGCGGAGGGCTCCGATTCGGTGACATCCCAGTCCTCACCCAGTGAAGAGGCTGGAATGATGACTGAGGTGAAAGTGAAAACAGAGGTACCAGATGACTATATCGAAGAGGTGATCTGGCAGGATGACACCAAAGATTCCAAGAAGAACATAAAAGATGGGCCAGGAGATGTGCCCGCGGAGATCTGCGTGGTCATAGGTGGGGTCCGCAACCAGCAGACACTCGGTAAGCTATGGGGTAATATGCCCCATCAGTCAGGTCCCTGAATCCATGGTGTGGGGAGAGGAGCAAAGCTCTGGAGGGCTATTCTGGAAGCTTGGCTCTGTTGGAGGGACCAGAGCCAAGGGGTGTATCAGTCCTGGCTCAGTTTTATTGACCTCCGTTAACTTTTGCTGTCTGTTTGCATCTGGTCACCCTAAAGACTCCAAGGAGATCAGGGTAACTGTAACAAAAAGCTTATTACCTTCTTCTGATGTGTTAAATGATTTGCCCTTCAGTCAAGTGCAAAATTCGTGGCAAATGCAGGGCTGGTGGTGGGTATGTTGGGTGTAGATGAGGAGGTAGTCAGGAGGAAAGTCTGAGAAACCGTTGCAGTGTTTAGAGGAAAGTTGCTTTGGGGAAAGCGGATGCTTTCTGTAAATAATTAGATTTAGCTCAAAAACAGGTTTTACAGGTTGCTGTTTGTTTTTCTGACTGCTAGTAACATTGTGGGAATAATTTTGACTTTTGGCTGGCTCTGGTGTGCCACTTGCAAAACAGTACTTCCTATCCCCACCCCACCTCAAGCCGTGATGAGAAGCTTTTTCTTTTTTTTCTGTGAACATCAGACTGCCCTCTCCTGCTCCAGGGAAAGAGCTTTCTGTGGGATCCTGGAGAGGCTCCAGTCTTGCTAAAGCGACTCTTATCCTGGACATGGAGCATGTCCCAGCAGTGACTCTGAGAGGCAAAGGAAGTTGCTGATGAAGAAAGAGCAGTTGGATCATGTTTCCTTTCAGGGACTCAGGAGAAAGCTAATTAGAGCTTCCCAGTGTTGCTCCTGGGGTTGGTTTGTCTTGCAGGGGGAGAGAAAAGAGGTATTGCTGTTAGATTTTCTCCTGGATTTTGCTTGATCGTTGTCCACACTGTTGGAAAGAAGCCCTGGAGGGTGTCATCAGCTAGCGACTGTATCGGGAGCATCATTGTCCTGCCTGTCCTCCCTTCCTCAGCAGGACAGCCACGAAGGACAGCTGGGTGGGAGGGTCAGAACATCTAGGGAAAGCCTTAAGAAGTCCATAACTGGTTCCAACTTAAAGATTTTACAATTTGGAGGACATACCCATTGTATATTTAGAGGTTTTGTGTCCCCACAGCTCTTGAGAGGTTGATTGCTGTGAGGGCAACCCTGAAATGCAGAGGCGACCCTGACACCCTAGGAAAGATGTGTGGAGAGACTGCTGCTGATCAGAGCTTCTCCTTCAGCCGTGGTCACCAGCCCTTGATGAAGCATCCAGATTGGGTGTCTGCCATGTAGGACCCTCTTGTCCCCGTGGCTTGTGGCTGGGAGGCAGCGGCTGTTCTGCAGATGATGTCCCGAGTGGACTGTGCTGTTGCACAAAGCAGGGAATGTGCTTTTGCTGTTGGCTAACTTGGATGTACACCATCGTGTCATACCTATGGAGAGCGCTGGGGACATGCTGGGGTGAGGGGGGACACTATTCAACATGTAGGCGTCATGGGGAGAGGGACAAAGAGTTATTTACTAGTTTAAAAGTGGTGGTTGAAAGCCGTAGAAAGTAAACTGGAGAACTTCTATCTGGAAGGGCTTTTTCAGATGAAATGTGCATCATATTTATTATTTTATAGCCTCGTGCTGGGTTTCTTTAAAGGCAACTTGGTCCTGAGGCGATTGGCAGTTGGCAGCTGATTCCTTTGTGAAAAGAGCCCTGTAAGTGCCCCTATTCATCCGCCATTCACATAACTCTTGTTTGTTGGGGAGGTGGCTCTGAATAACTTTTCTGTTTGGCCACCAAATACTGTGCTCTGTGTGGACCGACCTTGGTGCCCAGATATCAGTTCCTTGTGGTTTCTTGAACTGGCTCCCAGTCAATTCTTCTGGTCCCCTCTGTCCCCCCACAGAAACCACAGGCAGGCACTATTTCCATCACTGCAGACGTGTGTGTAACTCACCCAAGAAACATCCCGTGCCTGCTGCTTCACTGACGATTTCGGCTGCTGCTCTGGAACAGCCCAAGATTGCGAACAGCTGAAGATGCTGGTGCCTCCTGCCTCCGGAGCAAAGGCTCCGTGCTCTCTGCTGCTGCTTAGCAGTACTTCCAGGAGTTTTTCTCCCTGAAGCCTTTCTTGTGATGTGATCTGGTAGCACTGTATCTAAATCACTTCAGCTGTGCAGAAAGACAAGGCTTTGGTAGAGTTTTAGTCACCTTCATCAGGGAAGCTGATATTGGAGGTGTCAGAAATGGTTATTTTTTTCTAGGAATTCATGGTGCAGGATGAGGTGGGGAATCAGAAGTAAATGAATCCCTCTCCTTCGTGTGGAAATGCCGACCACTAGACTGTCTCCTTTCATGATGTGCTGGGGATGGTCAGTCAAACGGGGGATGTGTTGTCTGAGCTGGGGCCACAGCTGTGTTGAAGGCTTCAGGGCACATGTGGCTCCAAGGGACAGACAGCTTTCCTGCGGGGCTCAGCTTCGGGACTTGGCTGAAATTTGCATTAGAAGATCTATGTCTCCCTGTCTGAGTCACACATCTCCTGCAGGAGCATGCTATATTTATATTTTTAGTAGTTACTTGGAGCAATTTGTAACGGGGATTCCCAGCTCAGTTGCTGCTGTTCACTTGTAGTGTTTTCATCAGATTAGGCCTTGTGTGTGCTGCCTCCTGTTTGGTTACACATTCACATGTCTCTCCCTGCACTTCGGACTACTCCAGATTCTGTTACCATCTGTTTGGAGCAGCCCAAACCCCGCGATGGATGAAAGTGGATGCAGCGAAGCGGGATGGGTGATGGCAGTGGCTGCAGTCCCCCCACTTAAGAGCTGGTGCTGTTGTTTGTGGGTTTGGACCATTACCCTTTCATCTGCTTTTCCACAGAAGTCTTGCAGGCCCTGTGGGGTCTCATGTTGGGCATCCCAACCAAGCAAAGAAGGCCAACGGAGTGCTTGGCCGTATCCCTTTGTCTGGTCAGCAGCAACTGCCACTGCAGATCCTGCTCTCCTGCTCTCCTCCATGTCCACTGACCTGTGTCCACTGTACACCCCACGGCCCTGTTGGGTCTTCCTGCCTCATAGGTGGTGTGTTTCTCACCCTGCACAACTCCAAGATTCAATATTTCCTGTTCTTTTCTTCTTTTTCCTTGCTAGCTTCATATGCTGGCCTTGGGCCAGGGTCATTTGAAGAGCTCCAATGCATTAACATTTCTCAGGGCAGGGGGTGTCAGGGCAAAGAGGCAAGAGAAGCTATCTAGAAGGATAAGAAAATGGCACTTGCGTTGTAAATCAGGAGAAAGGGGGAGAGACTATTTGGCTGATGGGGATCATTTTCTAATGTTGGGAATACCATCAGGTCTGTATTTGTGTTTTGGAGGGCTTGAGTTATCTATGCAAGACTATTTAAGTTCCAGATCTGGTCCATGCTTTCCAAGAAACATTTTGGAGAGTATTTTTCAAGTAATGCATTAAATCAGAAATGTTTCAGAGACAAAGTGAAGAGTGAATCCTTCTGCTTTGAGACTTATCAATCTTACATGCACATGCTCGATTCATGCCGTGATGCTGATGTCTCAGTTGCTGAGCTGCTCAGCATATGTAATTCAAGAGCACTTTGGATTCTTCTTAGTTATACCAAATGAAATAGTACAGCAGAAGCCTTAAGAAACTCTGTGTGACCTCTGACATCTTGATAGTAAGCCAGAGGGAGAGATGGGTCTTGGAAATTTTTAATAGGCTTCAGCCATCATTATTCTTTGGAAATGCATCCACTTTAAGGGCTTTTTTCTGATTTCTTTTTGCACGATTTAGATGGAAAAGCAGTGGAACGTGGCTCTCCCGTTGGATATACACGAAATCGATATTCAGGGACCTGGATTTTTGACCATGCATTGAGATACACGTCCGGTATGTGATGGAAGGGTGTGAAAGTCTAACCAGGGATCAGGGAGCAAGGGAAAGCTCTGTATGCAGTGGGTATGTTGCCCAAATTCCATCTGCGAGGCTCAGGAAAAGCCTGGCAAGACTGAATGCACCAACTAACCAAAAACCTTTTCCATCTCCCCTCCTACTACGAGCAGCTTTAACCTGCATGAGACATCCCAATATGGATAAAGTCCAAGATAAACCATGACCACGGTGACAGTGTCCAAGGCAACACGGGCATGCTCTTTGTAAGGCCTTAATACACAGCCATGTCTTATTTTTTCCCTCCACTTCATCTTTCCTTCACTCTAATAACACATTTATTGTGGGAAGTCATCCCTCCTTTCTCTAATGTGAGGATCTCTGCCTTTGCCCCCCAAATCGTGGTGTGCTGAGTACACAGTTGTGGCTGTTGAGTTGCCTCTTGGTGCCTGCAGGATTTTAGATCTGTACTGCATCTCCCTTACACCCTCCACAAACGCGCTGCCCTCCTGGTCCGGTGCTCCAACATCTGCACGTAGAAGGGGGGTAGAAGTACTGCCCCCCCCCTCGAAGAAGATGACCCCAGCCTTCCCTGTGTTGCATTTGAGACCTGAGTGCTTCAGGACATCACAAAAGCACTGCCTGTGGGACACACCGGTCCCTCCCCTGCCTTCAGCTCCTGCCCTTGCTTTCCAGGCACAGCCCCTCGCACAAGGGGAGCAACACCGTTTTTGTATCGGCACCACACTGTCACTCGTACAGGTTATACTCTTCTTGAAGAAGTGTAGTTGGTGTAGTTGGGAACTGTTAGTGTTGGGTTGATGGTTGGACTAGATGATCTTCAAGGTCTTTTCCAACCTAGACGATTCTGTGATTCTGGGTGGAACTTCTGCACAGCCAAATGCATTTATGTGCCACAGACTATCTCCAGAGAAAGGGGCAAATGTAAGGAAAATGGGAAAAAGAATTCAACCTAGAGCCCTTCACTGTTTTTTATCTGTTTTTTCAGTGCTCTGTGTACACACAGTGCTGTTTCAGGGTATGGGTGGGCGTCAGTCGCATTTTGCTGTTGGTACAGCTGAACCTCAGCTGTTGCACAGAGTTCCTGGTTGGTAGGGCCCAAGTGATGGTGAATGTGCTCGTCTTCTGGCAGTGCTGCTTTGGGGCTCCAGCTGGAATAGTTTTCAGGAAAGAATTTTGGAGGTTTGTGATGAATATAATCAGTCCTTGAGCATGGAAAGTGAGAGCTGGCAGATGCTGCTGACTTGCTGATGTCCAGGATTTCACTTAGAAAAGCCTGTGTGGGGTGACCACAGGTGATGACTGTCCCATATATGTATATACATATATAAAGTACAACTAGCTATGATAATTAAAAGACTATGGAGCAGATCAGACATAGTCAACTGACTATAATTACCAGTATTTTAGAGTATTTTTTCAGATGTGTACTCTTGTGCATCAGACTGTAGCAACTTTCAGCATCAGTGACAAAGTAGCCTCCCAAGCTCAAAAGACAGTCCCAAGGGATGCTAACAGTGATGGGCAGGGAATTTGGTGCTGTTACAAACTTAAGGAGGGATGTTTTCTTCCCAAGCTGTAAGCACTAGGGCATGGGAAGAGAAAAAAAGATCACACGTATAGCGTGTTCAAAAATTGTGGTTGGTTTTGTTTCTGGAAAGAGCTCACTTTGAGTAGCACCGGGTAAGTATTGCTGTAAAATGATATTTGGGAATATTGATTTGGATGTGTGTATGAATGTTTTCTTCTTTGTGGCTCGTCCCTGAGTTTTACTGTTTTGTATGGTCAGGAAGAGATTGTTTCAAGGTTGTGTGAGGAAGCCTCCATTCAGCTCTTCGTTCTCCCACCTCTTTGTTCTCCCACCTCCTCTTCCAATAAGCTGTTCTCGCCTTGCCACAGAGCACAGATAGGATCACAGTTACTTAGCTGCTGATGGACAGCTAAGCAAAGCAATATATTTCGCAAGTGAGAGCTTGAAAGGTGGACTTGTAGCCTGTTCACCAAGTTGGAGTGTGGAAAAAAAGGTCGAATCAACTTAAATAACAAATCTAAGGAAATCTCTGTCTGCCTGTCCAATAAACAGAAGAGGCTAAATTCATTGCATAATTTCATCATTGCAAATGATTCTCCCAGCTCTGTTTCTCTGGTTTCATTTCAAATGACTGTTTGCAGATGTGTGTTTTCTGGAATTAGAGACACAAATTGAGAAGAGAGCCTACTGTGGTCATGTGCTTTTCCTTAAAAAGGTCAAAAGTTCTATTTGTATCTATTTGGTTTCCTCTGGGTGGATATTTACCAAATCTCTGTGGGTTTCTTGAGAAATTTGTACATTGTGCATTTCTTGAGAAATTTTGAAAACTCCTTGCCTCAAGATAACATATTGCCTTCTTTTTTCAGTTCTAAAGATTTTTTTTCCCATCTACTAGGAACTTACTGAAAAGTAATTCAAGGTTATTTCTGTCCATAGGAAATATTAGTCATTATTATAAAATTATAAGTCAGGCTATTTTGAGAGTGGCCCTTTCATGTTAGCAGATTTAAAAAGATATACTGAAAATGTAAGTTCAGGGTAATATGCCAAGGAATCTTAAATAAGGCTGAAAAAATAATTGAGTCTGGGATAGTGATTTCCTGCATCTATCTCCATGAACCTTCCAAAAATTACTTTGCTGCAAACTGCATTCTTTTGTCCCCAGTTTATGGATAAGTATGTGGTGAGGCTGTTTTTCCTGATCTGATATGGTGATGTATACTTTTCTGTCTTGTTTTCCAGGGTCTTACGAGTGTGGAATATGTGGGAAGAAATACAAGTATTACAACTGTTTCCAGACCCATGTGCGAGCACACAGAGGTATCTCACTCCTGCTCAAAGCTTTGGGCATCCCGGGGTAGCATTCAGGTTCAGGGACTATTTTCAGGAAGGTCTTGAAGATTGCTCTGCTGCTTCTCTGTTCATCAGTAAGGCTTCTTTCAGGTGGCTCATTCCTAAGATGAACTTTGGAGCTGGGTCTGTAGGATGAACTTTGGGCCTGTTCCTAGGATGAGCTTGCTTCTTAGGTCAGGAGCAGCTCCTGTGTTCGGTGCAGTACTGACTGCACGGGGCTCTGGGAGCATTGCTGTGTGTTGGGGGAGCTGCACATCAAAAAGTGTCTCCTGGTAGATACCACATGCCAGCAGTGTAGTTACCACCACAGGGGTAGGCATCCCCCTGAGGCGCTCCATGCCCCTGCCCAGCCGGGTGTTTGGTCCATCGCTGCTAAGGATGGGGTGATATAAAGTCAGAAATTGGCATTGCTAGACTGCTGTATTTTTATGTTAAAATGAAAATGATGCTTGAACTCACCCCCGTACCCCTGCTGTCTGAGTGAGCTGAGCTCACTTTCCAAATGAAATATCTCATGCTTAGCCAGGAGTGACTTTGAGTTTTCTGTAAGACTGGCCACTTCCATGTTGTGTAATTGCAGCAATATGAAAGTTTTGCTTGGTGTTTTATACCATTAGCTTAGTTTGTAGAATTTGGAGAAATACGTATCTGAAATAGCAGAACAACAGGGACTTTAAACTATCTCATGAGCCTTCCAGTGGTTTTTTCTTTCACCTGAGTTGAGCACTGAGGTCATTGTGTCAGACTTGTAGGAGCATCTGCTTTAGCTCCTCATCTGTAACTAGCAGTATCAGCACACGTGGTCTCCAGTAAAACGTTTGACTGGAATGTCTAAAGGAACGTAAAGGAAACTCCCCATGAAAAGTTTGAAAATCCAGAATCATGAAGGCTAATGCAATATTAAATTTTAAATGTGTAAACTCTTAGAAATCAGCAAATGCACAGCTGAAAAGTGAACGCGCATCCTTAACTTCTCAGAATTTTTCACGGTCTCGTAATACATCCTTTAATTGCATGGTTGTATATTTCGCATGTGCTGTTTAACATCACAGAGCTTCTTCTGTATCCTTAGATACATGCAGAATTGTTTTTCGATGCTGGCATTCCTTTCTAAATACCAACAAAATTCCTATAAATCCTTTAAATTTAACTACAAAGTAGCTTCACTCTGCAGTTTAAGAAAAAAAAAAGTCCCTAAAATCATAGTGAGCAGCATTTATTTGCTGACATGCACAATGCTTTACCGTTGCACCACAGCACTGCAATAATTTTGCAATAATAATTGCAGTATTTAGATTTGGAACAAGGATTGCTTTTATTTTACTTCTCATCCCCAAGCACTGGGGGGTCCTTAATTCAGCTGGAATTTTAGGGGCTGTATTAGTATGAGGTCACCTCCTAACGTGTGATCCATTTGATTTGTACTTAAACATTTATTCTTATTTTGATCATGAAATCAAGCTTTATATTAAATGGTGTGGATGCATCAGCTTACACATGTACAATTGATATCCATAGTTTAGTCATGAGCTCAGAGGAGACACGACTTTACCTTTTTCTTCCAAAGCCTTTTTAATGTGTAGCTAGAGAAGATGGAAATACTCAAAATTTTGAATGTGGAAGTGTATTAGTAATTTTCACATCAGTGGTGAAGAAGCACAGTTTATATATGTGAAACTTAGAAAATGTTGGTTTATGTGGCTGTAAATTATATGCATGTAGTAGTAACATTTCAAGTGCATTTGAATTGCCTTAAGACAATAAAAATCAAAATGAGATACTTATGTACACTCTTCAACAGGAAATCAAACTGAAAACTCGATGTAACTCGCTAAACATGATTATCCCAGGAACAGAACCTGAGCTGGCAGTTAAAGCAGTTGGGAAGCCTACCTGTCTGCAGAGAAATAATGTGCCATTGAATGTGCATGTGATGCATAGTTAGGAAAAAGAAGAAAGGATTATATGGAGGAAAGCCCAGTGTGATACTATCCAGAGGGAGTTGTACACAGAACTGTACCAGTAACAATGCTGGAACTAGCGTAAGGCTGCAGGACTGAAAGAAATTCTTCTGAACGATGTTTTCATTGCCTCGTGTATCTAAGGAGTCACATAGAAGAAGTGGCTGGTACTGCACCATCATAACAAATGTGAGATAACTTGGTGGTTACACATACACCAAGGATGTGATTCTGCACTCTGCATGTTCTCTTTGTGTATTTTTTGTCCGTGTCTTGGGATAAAACCCTAAGGCACTGACAAGCCAGCTTTCCTAGGTCTGCTTGTCCTCGAAGCACTGAAAATTGAGCTCCCTCAGCCTGTTACGTGCAATTATCAGCTGCCAGAAATTCAGATCCTGAATCTTTCCATCATTTCTTTTTGGCTGGGCAAAGGAAGGAGCCATGGTGCAGTGGCAGGATCTGGCATTTCCTCTTTGCCTGATGCACTTTGTAAGCATCAGATGGTTTCCGTACAGCCTGAGCCACCCATCAGTCATGTAACGTCTGCCTTTCCCTGGAGGTTTGACTGTTCCTGGGTAAATTCACCAGCTCAGTATCAGAGTTGCTGGAGCAAACTCAGGCCCCTTTTTCTTTAGATACTTTCTTCTGGGGCTTTTTGGACATTGCAGCAGAAATACCTGCTGTGATTTGGTGAAGGATACGCCCTTCCCCTTGAATAGCCCTCTGCTTTTTGTTTTCTTGTGTGGTTCCTGTGTCACTAAAATGGTCCCTGGCCAGGCTGTGGGTTGGTCCTACAGATGGACAGAGCTGGTGATGCAAAAGGCTGGCCCATGGGAGAGCAGATAGTAATTGTGTTGATCTGGTTTGGACCTTTAGGACAGAACAGCGGGAAAAAGCATCTGTCTAGCTGGCCCCACTGTCGCCATTCAGTGACAACTCCTGTCCCAGGGATGGGAGGTTTGGAGGTCTCAGTTGTCCTTTCCTTGAACTGGGTTATTTTGAAGCTGGTTTTTGTACATTTCCATGTCCAGTTTGGAGCTGTTGCATGGGAGCGTGGGGCTTATGGCTCATGGTCAGAACAGGTGGGAAGTCTGTCACCCTCTCTGCTCTTGCAGTCAGTCCTTACTTGTCAGCCTCTTGTTTTGCCCTGTTCAGAACTTCAATTTCTTCTCATCCTTTGAACTGTTCAGTTCACATTAAGATTCTTGCACTGGCAACATCATGTTTTTCTCTGTAATAATCATTTTGGGAGACATTTCTTAGATTTGTTTTTATAACTCCACTTGCCTCCTCCCTTAGCTCTTCATGGTAGAGAAGCTGTGTTGGAGGTGATCTGGGTTCTTGACTGATATTTTTTTCTTGTTTGCCTTCAGGAGTGGGTGGTTTCCTATTGGAAAACAGGGAATTTTCTTAGATTCATGAGCATTCACTGTGCTGCTCAACATTGGCTGGAGACTTTCAGGGAGAGATGGATCTCCTCGCACTTTGCAAGTGCAAAGGATTGAGGCAGCTTTTGTTCAAGACGTGCTGCCTTGCAGGGATGAGCTCCCTTTCTGCTTTGGTCTGAAAGCCAAGATGCAGGCACAGAAAACCCCACATGAAGGGTTCTGCAAAGAATTAGAAACGTACATAGGAAATCTACTCACTACGTTTTATCAAGGAAGAAATGAAAAGGTTGCGTTCCTTCCCCTTTGCCTCCCTAAAATGCATAAATAAAAAAGAAAACCAACCCAAAAAGTTATGTTGCGGAACTGAAAGGCTCCTTTGTGAGCTGTTGAGCAGCTCTGCAGGATTGTGGCTCCTTCCTCCTGCAGAGCTGCTGGAGTTCAGCTGGAGCAGAAAGGCTGCACATTCCTGGTGGCGATGGAAGGCTCTGTCCCAGCAATCAGCGCTGACAAACGTTACTGCTTCGCCTACATCCAACCCAGGCCTTAAACACGTTTTGCTTACAGTGCTTTTTGTTTAGCTGTGTGGGGTTTTTCAAGTCATTAAAAGGTTTGGATTGCCTTCAGGAGTTAGTCAGCTAGAAAGTTTTGTTTTATACGATTAGGTCGTATTTAAGCAACATGAACAGCAAAACATCTGCATGTTTTGAGTGAGGAAAATTATTTTGCTTTTAGATAACACCAAAAAAATGGCTGAAATTAGTTTATTAGACTTTCAAACAGTAAATTTAAAAACCTCTGGGCTGAGGCCAAGCAAGGGAGACTTTTACCCAAAGGAGAATTCTTCAGAAAGCAAATGAAAGAAAATTGCTAGTCTCAAGTTTAACCCTCTCAGGATATATCACCTCTGTCCAAATAATTGGTGGAAGTTCTCGGTTTCCAGATAAGCTTTTCTGGTCTGAATGATGACTTTGCTCAAGTTGTTTTTCTTTATTATTTATTTACATTATTTAGTTGCCATTGCCTCCCTCTGAACCTGTCAGCTCTCCATTACCTTCCTGCATGGGTGTGCCAGCTGAGGGGCCAATCTAACATCATCAGAATAGATGCTGAAAGCTAGAGTAGGGTTGTTTTCTTCAGGCAGTTTCTAGTTTAACCAATTGTTAAAAAGCTTCTCAAAGATTTTAAAGTTTCAGATTAATATTTTCCAAGAATGGGTTCTGCTCGATTCAAAAAATACGAAGAGGAAGATGACTTGTTCAGATTGTGAATATGTAAAAGAGCATTTTTCCAAAGTGCACATTTTTAGAGTCTTTAAGTTGGAGGAGTTCAGTAACTGAAAGGATTTTGAGGTGAGAAGTTGAAAATTAATAACAAAATAACCATTCCTGAGGAGAGATGGTGTTTCCAAGCTGAAGAAAGTTGGGCTTCATTTGTATAATTATCTGCGACTGAAAAATTATAGGATTTGGGCGGGGGGGGTGTCCTTTGCCATCTGTGCTGCATCCCAAACATCCATTTCCATTTTTAACTGTGTACGTTTCGCAGTCTGCAGCAGATTTTTATAAGAGGTGCAGAAAGTTACTTGAGACACATGAGTTAACTTGCCTATTTTCCAGCTTTGCTGCTGCGTCCCTACTCTCACTTACTCTTGCAGCTTTCTCAGAAATTGGTCTTTTGTTTTAAAGCTGTAATTACTTGGTCTCAACCCAAAGGTGATTTAGAGTGGGCTGTTAGGGGATTTTTAGTTGGGTGTTTGGGTTTTTTTTTAATTCATGAAGACTTTAGTCTGTCTTATGACTAAGAGTAACAACATTTCTTAACACAGTTCAGAAATGGCTGCTCCTTAAACCTTTGTGTGTTGCTTGATTCTTGTTAAGTTTGACTAAAGTACTTTTAAAAGCTATTTAAATGACAGAAATGGTCTGGTGCATGCATAGTACATATCTTTCATGGTTTATTTATGCCAGGACAGCATTTTGCAGAACTCCATTGTGCCATTGCTAGCTTTTTCCTTGAGTGATAGGTGGTAATTCAAACAAGTAGCAGCTGTGGAAAAATACAGGGCTTTGACTGTCGGGGTTTTGCATCTGATACTGAGGGTTTCTGATGGCCCCTCAGTTTATGAAGTTGTGCCAAATTAATATCGTTGCCTGGAAAAGTGATCTAATCAGGCAGGTTAATCAAGTAGAAAGGTACAAATTCACAAACCCACAATCATTTGTTTTTATTATTTTTAAGAAATAAGGAAATTAAATGCAAACAGTGTTCATTACTTAAGGTTGCAAATTTTAAATTCAAAAATGCTGTGACATTCTGCAGCTGTGGTTTTCAGAGCAATGCAAGCGTGATTCCAAAAGACAGACGGAATATTTTGAAACGTAGTTATGTTATTAGATAATGTGACATACAGTATATGCAGTTTAGGATGAATATGAAACACTTCAGAATAGCTTGGAAACCCTAATCATTTATGACCCTCGACTTGTAACATTGGGTTTTGTTTTCCAGCTTGCAGCTTTGCCCGTTGCATCCATTTAGGGCTTGAATGCGGTCTTTGCTGTGTGCTTCTTGCAGTCCCAAGTGTTACAGCGGAGGGAGCTTTTTCTCCCATCTTTTCACACGTGGCTTCAGTAAGACCAGGACAGAATAGCCCCAGGGGGGATTCTCGTGGCCCATCTCTTGCAGAGGCTTTGCACAGCTGTGTCTCCCGTGGGAGGCTGAGCTGGGTGCACTGGTCACCACTTGCTTTCCTGAGTTGACAGCACCTGCCTAGGAATTAAGCACACGAACAATTTCAACAAACCTCTGGTAGAAATTAGGCAGCTCATCCTCCCGAGCTCTGGTAGTGACAGTGGGGCTGCTGGGATGTGTCAGGTCTGTGCCCACCTCAGGCAGGGCCTGGAGACGTGGCACAAAGCCGTAGGGTCCCTCTCCGCGCAGAACCGCAGGGGAGAGCGGGGAGGCGGCTGCTCCAGGCCGGGCCAGCGGGCAGACCCTTGCACCCCAAAGCCCTCCCAGGGCTCCCTAAAAGCTCCTCGGAGCAGGCACCCTGCGTGCAGGGTAGGAGCATCCCTTCCAGCCGTCCCGTTTGGAATCCAGGCCCCTGTGACACCTTGGGGAACAAGCACCCCGGTTTCGGCGGCGCTTCCCCGGGACTGCGGGCGGCTGTGTTTAACTAAGAGCCTTTGGGGTGACCGGGCTCGGCCCCGCAGCCTGTCCCGCCGAGGGCCGCCGGCCTTCCACAGCCCCCTCCCGCCGTCCGGCTGAGGGAGCCGGCACCCTTCGGCACAGGCTCCCGGGAGGGGCTCTCGCGGCCGGAGGAGAGCGAGCGAGGCGCCGGGGGCGGCTGGACGCGGGGCAAAGTCGGCCGCCAGATCTAAGTGCAGCTCTTTCTCTTTGCAGACACCGAAGCTGCCTCAGGTGAAGGAGCCTCCCAGGGCAGTAAGTACTCCTGGCGCTGGGGGTGCGTGAGGGGGGACCGGGCC